GGAGCTGTTTGTACCCTTGAAAATAGAGGTAATAGATGCTCTTTTTTTATTTTCTTTAATCTCTTGTGAGATTTTGGCTGTGCATTATGTCTGTTTCTTTACTGAATTTTTTAGCATGACCTATCATCTTTTCACTTTTTCATGGTATTTAGTAATAGATTTTTGATCTTTTGCTTAGGAAAGGAACAAAAGTTTGGTTCTTGCTATATGGTAATCAAAATATAACTAGATTCGTCACATGATGTTTTGCATATTTATGTTTAAAGATTAGTTATAATGTGGTTATTGCTTCTTGTGGCTGATAATGTATATCATATTCTTCTACTAACCACTGCCTTAGAGAGAATAAATGGATAAATAACAGATGACAGATGTGCCATTGATGGTTTAATATTTTACTCCAATCATGGAACGATTGTTACCGGTAAAGGTTATTACTATCTATGTTAACTTCCTATCTAATGGGAAACATATAGCACTAAGAAAAATGTTCTACACAGCATTGAGAATCTGACTATCCTGATTAGTGAAGACCTCATGTAGTCACTGTTGACATTGGTAATTAAATATTTAACTAAGTTTTCATAGAATATCTTTGGTTGTGGAGGGTTACTATGGAAGGATAGTTCCTTTCCAACCAGTCATGGCCTTTTGAAGGTAACTAACCCACGTAAGTCATCCCCAGCCATTGCCAAAGAAACAGAAGCTTCTCCTACAAGTGGATCTCTTCTCTCAGCCTGCTCTAATATCTCAATGCAAAGCCGTTCCTTGGGAGAAGCCTTCCCTTCATCCGTAGTCCTATAGTAGTCCACAGACCTTGTAAGTCTCTTGGAAATTTGAACAGCTTTTCTGCCATCCAATGTAAGATCAGCTGGACTTGCTCCTTTTGTTAGAAGAGAAACTATTAATGTAGGTTCTCTGCGCATCGCAGCAATATGGAGCACAGTATATCCTCTTTGGTTCCTATAGTTGATATCTGCAAGTCCAAGATCTAGAAGCTCCGACGTAATTTTGGAATCGCAGTAAGCCACGGCATAATGTAGTGCATATGCATCATCTAGAGAAGTCTGTCCCTCTTTTAAGAGCATTCTCACTAACTCGACATCATCAGAATCCAGGGCTCTATGAATCCTCTTCACATGCTTACCAGGATAACCAGAACTCTCAAGAGCTTGCAGACCTAGAGTTGCACGAGCTTCCTCTACTTGCTTGACAATTTCAGAGGGCAAGGCCTTTTCTAGAGTAACAACATCTAACTCTGACATGACCACAATTTCAATGCACTTATCAAGCAATTTTCCACATAATCTACCACACAAATTTGCAATAGAAAGAATAATTGGTACATCATCAATTGCTACCCTGTCAAGAATATAAAAAAGATGCCTCTGCAAAAAAAGTAAAGAATTAATTAACATCCCTTTTATGAACAAAAAATTCATATGATCGAACAGATGCTAAATAAAAATTTTAAACACTAAATTATTAAGAAAAGAAGGGGGAAAATTTAGCTCATCACAAACAACAACACGGGGCTGATGATACCTGCAAATTGGTATAAAATCTTTTATCATAAAATGTTAGAATAATTTTATACATTTAATTACGCGAGACGTCGCAATAATTATTTAAGTATGTATATTTAATTATATAACTCATTAAGTGGCCCATATATTAGAATTATTGAAATTTAATTATTTATGTTTAATCCTATTGGTCAAGAAGAAATAATTTGATCATTCGTTTATGGACCGTTTGATCAAATAACTCCTATGCGGTTATTGTAATCAATCCATAGGAAATAACTCCTATGCGGTTATTGTAACCAATCCGTAGGAAATAACTACCGGTCCTCTCTCTCTCTCATTATATGAGGAGTTGCTTTGCTCCATAGAGAACTAACTCATAAGAGAAGAAAGTGAAGGGAGAAGGGAGAGAAACCGTAGTTTCGAATTCGGCAAATTCAAAATGAATCAAGGTATGGTTTTTGTGGGCTCCGAAAATTCGTCCTCGGCCTCCACTC